TAACCCCTGAAATCTGCTTTGAATAGCAATAAATTCCTAACAATATCTTCAATGCCTGCAGCAACAAAATCTAATCTCTGAACTCCTAAAGGTCAAGATTTGCTGTCTGGTAGCACGGCTCAAGAGTAAATGCTCCCTAATGCTGTGCTAGGCGATTGCTTTGCACTCCAGACAATGTCAATTTTGTCCAAGTAGCCGCAGATGTGTCTAGCATTAAGTCAGAATGGTGTCAAGGGCCCTTCTTGAACACCGGCTGCTTCTCAGAGAAACTGGTCCTAAAGCCCTAGTCTATTACAGTCCATGCCCAAAAGGCAGGCGTTTAAGGCTTAAAGGAGGATGGAGAATAAAGCTGCATTAGATTTTTTAATGTTTCTGAGTCAGGAGACCCAGGGGAAGAAATTCTCTGGTGATCCTAATGTCCTTCCCTCTCCCCTCGCCACTGCCAGTCCTTTGGATTTCCTGATTAAGGTGTTGTACTGTCCATGAAGTCTACTCTTGATTTGTTTTCCTGATAAACCATTCATCACTGCTGTGGTCCACTCCAGCTATGGAAAAGCTATAATAGACTAATGAACCCATCAAATTAAGAAATGTCCATGTTCCAGGAAGTCGTGTGCCAAGGGAAGGCATGGGCTGGGGGCGGGGAAGCAGAGAATGAACCCACCTCGGAGCAGAGTACTCAGTATAATGAAGTCTGCAAATGCATCAGCCCCTCCACCCCCAGCCCTGAAAAGAAGACACTGCTTCTTCCCAACACAATGCACTTCTTTAGTTTTTAAAATTGGTATGACTCAGATGAAAGTATTTTGCTTTTAAAATGGGTAGGGCTCAGTGTAAACCAAGTAGTTCTCATATTTTACTGAAAAAAAAACATTCATTTGCCACCATTAGTAATTCTGCTACTGTGATGTCATAGATTTTTAAAAAATTAACTGTATTCAAGAAACATTGGTTAATATGAAGTCATTGATTTTTTTCCCCCTTTCTTTCTATCTTCTCTTCATCCTCAGGTTAGCCTTAAAATAAGCCACTGCCATGCAGGCTGGCACGAGTTCCCATGGTTGGTAGAGGAAATGTTTCATTTTTGATTTTTAATTTTAGGGAGGATGGGAAAGAGAGAGAGATTGATTTGTTGTTGCACTTATTTATGCATTCAGTGGCGAATTATTGTATGTGCACTGACCAGAGATAGAACCTGTAACTTTGGCATATTTGGACAATCCTCTAAACAACTGAGCTACCCAGCCAGGCTGAGGAAATATTTCTCGAGGCAGGGAAACCTGAGCGTTGCTCCTATGTTTAAAAAAGACTCTCCTCTTCGGCGGTGCATCTCACATTTTCACTTGGCAGTGTCCAGGATCCAGGAGGAGGGAACGTGCCATAGAATTTTCTAGCACCTTCTGAGTCTCCTTAGTAACAGATGTGTAACAAGTGGCAGAGGTTACCACCAATTCACTGTGGACCATCTGTCAAAAAACACAATGCGTTCCACGGATATGGAATTCACTCTGTGAAATAGACAAAGGAGGTGAGCCCAGTGTCTCTGCATCGGAAAACAGTTAGTGGGAACCATAGGTCTTGATTTCCTTCTTTACCTCTGTCCTGACTGCATCATGTTTTTGGCTCTTCCTCACTGCTACTAACTTGCACTGGATGCTGAGTACCAACAGGAAGAATGTTAACTTAAACCAGGGTTGTAACACATAAATGGAAAAGGCAGCAGGTGTAATGTGGTGTGTGGTGGGCACTGCGGGGATCTGGAGGCAGCAGCTATTCAGCCGGAGCCAAGAGTTGCCATGTAGAAATAATTGCTTTGCTGAGTCATCTGCTTTTTTTTTTTTAAGAGAAAGAGAAATCCAAATTTTATTTTGATGAAATCTCTAGAATGTTGAACATTGGCTCAAGTTTTTCTTAAAGATTTTATTTATTTATATTTAGAGAGAGGGGAGAGAGGGAGAAAGAGAGGGAGAGAAACATCAATGTGTGGTTGCCTATCATGTAGCCCTTACCGGGGACCTAGCCCAAAACCCAGGCACGTGCCCTGACTGGGAGTCAAACTGGTAATCCTTTGGTTTGAAGGCCTGAGCTCAATCTACTGAGCCACACTAGCCAGGGCTTAAAAATTTAAAAACATTGTGTAGGCCAAACAAAACTCAGCTGCCTACAAAATACAGCCCTTGCGGTGCCATTTGTGATTTTTGCTTTAAACCCATTTCCAGCTCAGCTCAAATAGGAAGTCATCTAACCAATGAGGCAGTGCTGGTGGGGAAATCAGGAAGAGTGGAGAGGCTGCAGAGGACTAGCTGGAGGGAAATCCTACCTGCATATCCACACAGGCCTGAACATGGAGCAAATTTCAGGATTTTGTATGTAGGAATGGGTTCAACAGCCTCTTATTCTAAAAGGAAGACTATGGGAATAATTAGTGGCCAAAGAAACCAGGAAAGGTAGATAAAGAGGCTAAGAAAAGTGAATTGTGAGTGCAGATAGCCCCAGGTCTAAACCAGGGATGTTGCAGTGGATTGAGTGTTTGCTTTTCCTCCCCCACCCACCCAAATTCATTATATTGAAGCTCATAACCTGAATGGAATGCTTATTTGAAGCTGGAGTCTTGGGGAGGTAATTGGATTTAGATGTGGTCATGGGGGTGGAGCCCCCACGATGGGATTGGTACCCTTTGGAAAGATAAAGGGACCAGAGCTGCTCTCTTTCTACCGTGAGAGGGTGCACGAAGATAGCCATCTGCAAACCCAGAAGAGGGCTCTCACCACGCATCTGACCACGCTGTCACCCAGGTCTCAGATTTCCTGCCTCCAGAACTGTGGCAAACAAATGTTTGTTGTTTAAACCACCCACTCTATGATATTCTGTTACAGGAGCCCAAACTGATTTAGTGGATGCTAAGCAGGATTCATCACACCTGCCAACTCCAATGGACTAGATTGATGGGCTGCTGGGAAGTTGGGAAGCTGGAAGGAAAGAACACTAACAATAGTGGTGTCCTGAGTGCGGTGCTTTTGCTACCCCTGGCCTGAAAGAGCAGAACATTTGAGGATCACCAGATAATTAGCTCAGGCAGGCGGGCTTCCAAGTCCACATATAAGATAACAACATAACCATGTGCTCTCAGAATTGTTATGCTTTCTATCTCTAAGTCATGTTTATAGTGGGTCAATAAAATACATCACTATTTGGATTTACATTATTTATTTTGAAACATAAAAGAGCATTAATCACATTGGAAAGAAGGGTTTAAAAATATAGATTCTAAAGTGAATGACTTGATATCTGCGATGATGAAGAAAAATATCAGCTCACACTTGGCCCTTAATATTTAAATGTTAGAATTATGCCGAGTCCGTATTCCACCCTGGAAATCCACTGAAGTGGGTGCTGTAGCAGGGCACTGCTTACACTTCCCCGTAGGCCCTGCCAATTCACTCTCCCGGCTGCTGGGAGTGCTGGCTGCTGCTGGCTCACAGCTGAGACCTCTCCAAGGAGCTACCTGCGCCACAGTGCTGCTTCTGGGGGCAGCTTCCATTCAATGGCAGATCAGAGGAGGCCATCAAGTCTGTCCCTCCCTTGCCTCAATTAGGTCAAGTCTGAAGTGCCATCCTAGTTCCCAAGCTCCCTTAAGATCACCTGAAACCTCTGTTGCAACTATGTTGCTGTTCGGTTCCTCCTTTGCCCAATCTTACTTCCTTCTCTTTCCTTGTGCACATAAATCTCATAGTCTCAGTATTGGTTTCCTGGGAAATTGACATACAACGGGACCTTGTTGAAGTACAGTTGACCCTAGAACAACACAGGTTTGAACTGCATGGTTTTTTAAAAAAAATAAATGCTGTAAATATATTTTCTCTTTCTTATGATTTTCTTAATAACATTTTACTTTATGTAGCTAATTATAAGAATACAGTATATAATGCATATAACATACAAAATGTGTGTTAATTGACTGTTTATGTTATTAGTAAGGCTTTTGATTAATAGTAGGCTATTAGTAAAGTTTTGGGGGGAGCCAAAAGTTACACTCAAATTTTCAACTTTGTGGGGGTTGGTGCCGCTAACCTGCATGTTGTTCAAGGGCCAACTGTATAGGAGAATAGATGATGAGAGATGCTCTGGACCAGGCTAATTTTAAATGACTTTCACATTGATGGAACAGAATTGCAAATGTAGGGACACAGGGAAGACATTACGTCAATTTCAGTGAAAAATATTTTCATATGTGAATACTTAGCTTTACCTATGTGTAGGGGATATATTTTGTTGCAACTTATCTCTGTTCCTTTGAGGGACTTATTCCCACCCCAATCATAAGATTTGAGGAGCAGGTGCCAACTGTGGTGTCCAAGTCCCTGGAGGCAGGAGTTGGCAAGTGACTCTGGTCTGGCCAGTCCTGGCTCACCATGCGCTGTCTGTAGCGATTAGTCCAGGAGAAGGGCTTGTGACCAAGGCTGAGACCATCAGAGTCATTCCACAAGATTTAGTAGAACAAGTCAACAAAGACAGGACATCTCTTTCCTCTTACATCATAAGCTGTAATAAAGTAAACCTGGAACTGCCGGAGGCACGTACCTCTCTGCCCATCTACAGAAGAGAATACATCCAACACTTAAGGAGAAGCAAAACCAAGAGATGAAGTGGTTAAAAAAAGACAACACTGCCTATGTTCTTGGATCCAACTGTGCTTCAGTCAGAACTAACCCCGGACATCCCAGTTTCGTGAACCAAAAATATTCCCCTTCATTTTGCCCAGGCTGTGTTGAGTTGGGATGCCCATCACCTGCATCTGAAAGATTCCTGACTAATTCACTGCATCAATAATTCAGTGACAGATGAAAACAAAACAAGTAACAACCCTGAGGGATAATAACAAAATACAAGTACCCAGGAGCAGAGGCCAAGAGCTCTACCAGGCCCTAGCAGAGTAATACACCCATGAACCAGAGAGGATGCATGCAGGCGGAGCTCTTTGTCTAAATGCTCAAACCTAGCTTCTGTGGGTGGGGCTGGTGGCACCGACACAGAGGTGACAACAGCAAAACAGCAAGAAGTTCTCGGCCTCCACTGCCGAATTTTTAGGCTGGCAAGGAAATGGCAGGCGGCGCCAGGGCAGATGGAAGACACAACTGAAGAAAAGCAGCACATGCGAAATGAAGCCAGGATGCTGTTCCAGAAAAACAAAAAATGCATAGACACAGACCTGATTGAGCAGTGTAGAGACGAACACACGGCCAGGACAGAAATCGGACTGATCACCAGATTCCCTGTGCAAGGCCAGTTCATCTGCCTGCAGTGGGGCTTACCCCACTGCAAGGCCGGGCTTGGAAGCCAGGAAAAACTGAGGATACGTTTTGAACTCTGACTCAAGTCTCATGATGAGGTTTCCTAATCCAGAAGGAAGTTTATTTCTCGGAATGATGAGCCAATTAGAACTTGAATGTAAAGCAGGTGACAAAACCTTTCTCCTTGATTGGACTGAAAATTCAAGTATATTCTTAACAACCTCCAAAACATTGGTACTGGCCACCTGATGTGGGCTCTCAGTTTGCTAGGGCCTTCCGGCCTGACCAGACGACCCTAACCTTAGGGGGCAGGACCTTACTTCCTCCTCGAAGCAGCATTTGGAAACAAGACTAAGGCCTGTGGGAGGAAGACTGAAGACTGAGTGACAAATCTTCTCACGGAAATGCCATCGCCAGACATGTCAGCTGCTGCGAAGAAATGACCCAGTTGCTGGGAGTTCTCATGGCTGCTGTCAAATGACATACCTCCCTCAGAAAGTTTTTAGGCTTTTTAAAAAGTTATAGATTTGTTTAAAACTGGGCCTTTTGTGTGTGTATTTCATCTTTTGACCCTTCCGATTTCCAGATAACATCCCTTAAAAAGTCCGTCATTGGATTGACCATGGTTTCCCATGGAATGTTTATGGGAGACCCATGCCAGCCTCCTTCATGCACACACACAGAGCACATGTCTCTGTGAGATGCATGTGTTTACTTTATCTTAAAGCATGTAATTAAGATTGCACTTAGGATCTGAAAGCTCATACTGTATCATTATAAGTATTCTGCCTTAACATAATTAGAATGTGCAAGGTCAAAGCTGGCTTTCAAATTATGTCTAACAAAAATGGACCAAGGAGAGATGAAAACGCAAAGGATTTACACTCCGGTGTGCGGGGACTCAGGTGAGATTCCCATGGCAGGTCTCTTGTACATCAGCATCATTTCTCCTTACCTCCAAAGAGGACAGGCATTACCAAGGAACACAAATCTTATAAATAAGTTAGTAAATAAATAAAATCTCAAGCCTAGGAGAACTAATATAGGCAGAATAGAGAAGAGCACACAGGCAGAAATGAATGGGGGTTTGCAGTGTAAAAAGAAATCACTGCTGCCCTCACCAGGTGGCTCAGTTGGTTGGAGCATCGTCTGGCACACCCAAAGGTTGTGGATTCAATCCCAGGTCAAAGCACATGCCTAGGTTGCAGGTTCAATTCCCGGTCGGTGCATGTACAGGGCACAACCAGTTGATGTTTTTCTTTTTCTCTCCCTTCCTTTCTCTCTAAAATCAATAAAAACACATCTTGAGGTCAGGATTAGAAAAAGATCATTGATGCCTATGAAAATAAAAATAAATAGAACAGTGAAAAACTGTGCCAGGTGTTTCTGGAGTAAAGGAAACAGTGTTGAGTTGATGGCAGGAGAGATGGAGAAGGTCAGCCTGACCTGGGCTCTGGCCGAGAAGGCTAACGGCGGTGGAGGGAGACGAGGTCCAGGCAGGCAGTCTGGAGGAAAGGGCAGCCAGACTCGGGTTAACACAGTGCCATTCCAGGTCAGGGACAAAGCAAGTGCAGAGGCAGAGGCTCATCAGTTTACACACACCCTCTAGTTCATAGGCAGAGGCAGTGATGCTACAGAAATTAAACTTCAGTGCTCTTCTCCTGCAAAAGCCCATCCAGGCTCTAACAATTCGTTCACATGGTCATATATGTTTGTAAAACTTGAAAAGGTAATATATGTTAGCCATAATTTAACGGATGGTTTCAGTTTCTTTCTCATCTGATTCCTCCTCTTTCATACTGACCCTCGTGTTGTGTGGTGTAAGTGGTGATGAGTGTCTTGGGGATCTAGCTAAGGAGAAGTTGAGTTGGGGATCCATTTCGATTGGGTTCAGTGGATGTACCAAACCCTACACACTGATGTGGTTCAGCATCTCCTCCATGTAGGGCTATGCCAGTGTTGCTGACCATCCCGGTATAGGGATGTCTTCTAGGAATACTCCTGTGGCCCGCTTGGCTGGCTCATAAAGATACAGAGCAAGTGGCGCTAGAGCCGGTGACTGTCACCTTTGCCATCTGACTTCAGACATATGTACTTAAGGGAGGAGAAACGCAAAACGTGGTTATGTGAAAATGTCTTCTGATCATCAGATGTGGAAAATTATAAAGAGGATTCAGTTCCCATCACCATCTACTCAGAACAGAAGCTGGATCTCCTGTCAACGATAAGCTCAGTAATGCAGGCTACATAATGACTATATATTTTCTAGGATTTTGGTAAGAATTGCATGACAGAATATATAAGAATCCCTTTATTTACAGGCACAAATGGTAAGCAGTACTGCAAACACCTGTGTGACAAGTTGACTGCTTTAAGCTGTTTCATGAAAATACTGAATGAAGTCAGATATTTTATGTAGGTCTATAAAATACAACTCCATTGAAGACAACACAGAATTCACATACTCTGTGCCCAAAGAGGACTTCGACAATAAAATGGTTAATTCATGATATCATTTCAAAGAATATTTAACATTAGTCCTTGCTCAAGAAAACTTGAAATGTTCTGAATTCTCAAATGAAAGTAACTGAGCTTTCCACCAAATTGAAAGACAATCCTACATTCTTAAAAATGTATGTAATGTTACCAATAACAATTGTAAAGCTGAAAAAAAGATAATCTAAATGGTCAATAAATAAAAAATCTTTCATCAACCTTAAAGGTAATTAAAGGAAATTACCTTTAAGATTTCTCAAAGGAAAATCTTATATTTGAGAAGACAACATGTTTTCAGTTAGAAAATACTGGGAGAAAAGTATTTTAGAAATATGCCAAGCAGATAATTAATGATGGGTCTAATTCATGTTACTTTTCTGAATTTTGTGATACATTTTTAAATTTGTAATTTATTTCATTTCTATTTTAATTTTAAATAAACATACCCATGCATACCTAATTTTTTTCTGTAATTTTGTGGGTTTTGGTGAGGCCCCTCTGCCGCCCAGGTTGTAGCAGCCTCAAGCCCCACAGAAGCTGTTCCTGGGGGTGGATTTGCTCCCCTGGACAGGGGACATAGTTCAGAGGGAAAGGGTCTTGAAACAGCCCTCCAGTTTCCACCCAGTGATGGTGGCAGAGGTCTACGGCTTTATTATCTGCATTCACAGCCAGTTAAGTAGACTACCTTGTACCTGGGATTCCTTTAACAGGAATGAAAGAATCTTATTTCCAGCTTAAAATTAAATGTTTGCGTAATTTGGTTTCAGTGTAAATTAGTTCCATTTTTCAGTGTTGAAAGGTCAGAGAAGTAGGCTGAGGGGAGCAAAGAGACCTGGGCGAAGAGGAAGAAGAGGGAACAATAAGAAGGAAGAAGGACTATGAGGACCATCACCACCCAGGAGAGATGGAAGGATCCAGAAATGGGACAGGGAACAACTTCACAGGCTGACAGCTTTTGTGCCCTTGCCTTCGGTATGGCAGTGCAAACAGGAGCTACGCTTGGGGCGGGGGTCCTGGCCTGCTGCGCCAGTGTGGGCAGCTTGGCTGCTTGATTTAGAAAGTGTTTGGAGCACAGCCCTGCATCTTATAAGAAGGTTCATTCCCTAGAGATTAGTTAATCAAGGAGCTGGGTACACACACCACTTCCTGTGGGATGTTAATGGTGTCTGTAAGCAGGAAAGAGCCCAGAATCATTGTTTATTGGAGAGAAAAATCAGTTCACTGCCAATAAAGAAAACTTGCCTTGATGTACAAAGACTCCTTTGTTAACAAGTGAACAAAAGCAACTTTCTTATGTAAACACTTGACATCGAAAAGTAGATTCTGTAGTTCATTAAAAAGTAAACACTTTTTTCAAGCTCCTAAGCTTCTTGGGATCAAGCTGGACTTTGGCTGTGAATTTACCTGAGTCATTTGTGCTAGTGGGTTGTTATGTATGGAGGAGAAAGATGGGGCTTTTAGGGAGATAGTGTGCCACCTGTTCCCACTCCCATGGACTGGCCTTTGGCCCAGGGGACGGGGCAGGCCAGATGCAGAAGGAGCTGTTTCCAGGAAGGTGGAGCAAGGCTCTGAGCCCAACAGTGCAGAGTAGGGAAGAGGAGAAATCTCCCTGGCTTGGGAGCGTGAGGGAGCAGAGCTTTGGTCCAGGCACTGGCGTTCTCCTGTGTACTGTCAGCAGAGTGACCCTTGCATGTAGTTGCACCAGGAGGAGTCAGAGCAAAGGAATAGGACAGGAGAGAAGGCCTTGTGGTGACTGAGCAGACAGAGCCGTGATCTGGCCTAGCGAGCTCTTTGGCCTCATTCTCCTTCACTCATACCCTAATGAGATCTTCCCATCCTAAGCCCAGGAAAAATAAGATCCCCAAAGAAAAAGAAGAGAAGAGGCAGTGCTTCTTCAAACCTTAGAGTACCTGCCTGTGGAGTCTGTGCTGAGGACAGTGTTACCAAACTTGAGGGGCTCACCATGTGCGATGCTCTATTAAAAAAACGAGACGTGGTTGTTGCAAGGCAGCTTTGTGCACTCACAGCAAGTAAAGGAGACAGGGAGTCATACCCAAGCCTCTTCCTCCTGGAAGGGAGGTTTGGCTACTACTTACGATATATGAACTGTTTGATCTAATGCCTGTTGATTTCTTCTTTGCAGGTGGCTACATTTACCAGGTTGAGTTCCTGTCAGCTTATCCTGTTTACAGATGCATCTACAAATAATATACTACATTTTACATTTAGCAAGAAATAACATTTAGGACTCCCCAGACCTTAAGACCCTTGCCCTATTGAACAATAGGACTTGGTCCTGCATGGAGGGCAGCCCAGCACCATCTGTCACAACAGTGACAGGGAACACTCCAGTAGCACGAGACCATGCTAGGACTGTCAGAGCCTAAATACAAAGAGAGAATCCAAAAAGATGCACTTTAGGCCTGTCCTCTAGGAGTCCACATCAAAAAGCCAGCCTGGCATCACTGACTTAACCCCCACCTTGGTGGGGAGTGGAAAGAGGAGTGCAGAGTTCCCTGAACCCTTGCATCCCAGATACCAGGACCTAGAATTCATTCTCCAGGACGGAGCTTTCCCGTGTGCCTGTGGCATCAGAGAGGGCCCCTAGGGA